CTCACACACACACACACACACACACACACACACACACACAAACACACACACACACACAAACACACACACACACACACACACAAACGCATGTCCTGTATCAACATCTGATGCTCAACGTCTCGACACGAACACCAACCTGCATTCTGCGCTCGTCTTTCACCTCGCCGAGCCCGCACTAACGGGATTGCTGAAGCATTCGACAGCGCCAACGATCTGCGGCGATTTTACAGCCGCCGCAGTTTTCTCGCGCCCTGCAGAGCTCGCGCGCGCGCCATCTATTTCCAGCTCCCTGCCTACGTTCCGACTTGTCCCGACCACCGGCGGCACTTGCGGGCTGTTCAGTGACATCAGGTAGTTCGTTTCTATCACGTCTGTTTGAAGGACGAACCCGTCGGTAGGTGGGTAGCTGGACATGCTGCGCAGATCACGCCCTTGGACGTCATGACGTCCAGGTGCAGGCGGTAGTAGTCTCCGTGTTTCTAAATTTGCGCGGGAGAATGCTCCAATAGTCCGTGTGTTTCCAAACCGGCGCGGGCGCACTTTGGAGCTTTTTCGCCACGCGACACACGAAACGGAAAACAAACGAATGCATTTCTGGCAGAAACAGTAAAGATTCATCTGCTACTATGAATAGTAATAAGTGCATGTGGGCCACTTATGCGGATAGATGCACTCGTTTTATAAATTCCGGGTGACGTGTGGCGAGCCCCTTTGCTGCGTGCTGCCCTTGTCGTTCCTGATGGGTGACTGATGCGACCAAGCGTCAGACCACCAATATCCCGCCAATTAGTTTTGGCCCTGACACCTCCTCATTGGGTTTTCCATTATTATTTATTCAAAAAGAAGGAAAAAGAAAACAAAAAACTTATTTTTTCGTTTTTTGCTTGGGTAAATTTGTCCGGCGCCCCTGTAAATTCCATTACGTTGCCTCGTGCCCTCCGACGGCCGAAATACACTCTCGTGCCCCTGGGGCCTCTGGACTTCCTGCTGACCCCTGTCAGCAACGGGCGCAGCTTTCCGTGGTGCCCCTACTGGACCGCCAGTCCTATTTCTCGGATCCCTATGCCCTCATGAGCGGTATGTATCTTTCCATCATGTCCTCGCGCCGGAAATTCGGATTTGAACAAAGCAGTTTTTGTGGGCCACCTCTCTCTCTCTCTCTCTCTCACTCACACACACACACACACACACACACACACACATTCACACACACACACACACACACACATTCACACACACACACACAGAGAACATACTACAGGTCCAACATGTTAAAAATCTTTGATAAGTCTAAACATACTTCGTCTGTCGGAGGCTGTGTGTGTGTGTGTGTGTGTGTGTGTGTGTGTGTGTGAGAGAGAGAAAGAGAGAGAGAGAGAGAGAGAGAGAGAGATGAGGGAGAGAAATAAAGTAGCCGCCATGTGCGTCCCCATAGAGGCCCGCTGAAAAGATGCACCCTGGGCATATAAACAATTTTTGTGCTGGTACTCAAATAGCTATCCGGTAGGGGCATACTGCAAATTTGGAATGGGTGCTGGTAGGGGCGTAACTGAAATGTGTTTGGTCCAACCGACACCACGGTTTTAAGGGAAATTTGAATCGTCGTCAGAGGGGCGTGACAGGGCAAATCGGTCATCGAAGGGGCGCGACACAAAATAATGGAAATTACAGGGGCGCCAGACAAATTTTCTCCTTTTTTTGTTTTTTTTTTGGACAATGTCAATTTTATTTCAAAACAGAGTAGCCATTGAGGTTGGCGAAATCACAATTCAACCCGGATGAACCTAGAGGGGCGAAGCCTCGTTCACCTCCAGCGTCCCAAACTCTGTTGGCTTCTACTCTTCTTTAAAAAAGTCCTCTTGAAGAGTAAGGGCTACTCTGTTGGCTTCTACTCTTCATAAAAAAGTCCTCTTGAAGAGTAAGGGCTAGGAACCTGCTGAGGCTCGAACCTAGTGAACTCGTTCCCGAACTCACTACTCACAATATATACCTAAAGTGGCCCATTTTGCCCAGGAGATGCAAGCCTGCTAACAATTACTCACTGCTAGTTGGCTTTTACCTTAGAAAAATCATAACAGCAGACAGTGTCAATCATGGCTAGTCCTGCCCATTGATCTGGTAATTAATCACGAAGCCAGCTTGCCACTGACATTTTGTCGTCTGCAGAGAAGAAGGCCAGTCTGTTCTCCTTTGCCCAAGTTTTTTTGAACCAGAGGCGACCTGTGTCCTGCCGGGAGCGACATTTTTTCCAATCAGCCAACAATGGACATCGAGTTTCTCTTGCTTGAAAATGATAGAATTGCATGCGCGCCAATTTTTTGCATTACAGTCCCTCTACGCACTAATGCCACGTAGCCCCATCCTTCTGACAGCCGAAAGCCTGCATTTGGAAGGATACCATACACTACGCAATCATCATTCTTGGAAAGCTCCGTTGGTGATGCAATGCTACTATGTCGACCACCATATCCATATTTCATCTGCCAGTTAGCAGTCGGCCCAAAGGAGGGAATTTGATTCCCATCCCCAGTCATATCACCTACAGGCGATCGATAATTTCATTCCTTTGTAGTTGAGCCCGAGAGCTGTTGGGATGACTTGTAAGGATTGAAACCATAGCAGGTTGGCGTCCTTTTGTGGAGGGATATGCGGTAACGTTTTCCACAGTCCTCTCCACTCCGGGAGAGGTGTATCCTCTCCTTTCAGCTTCCTGAATCTTTTTGTAGCCAATAAGGTCAGAATGATTTTAGTTGCAGAGTGTTAACATTGCACGCCTACTGTGACAGACCCGCCGACATGACGGTCCGTCATGATCAAGACGAAGGGATGAGGATGGGGGAGATGGAGATGGAGTTGGAAGGGACAGCGCAACTCCAACGCAAACTCAACACGCACGCACTCCAAACTGTTCAAATAAAGAATGAGACTGAAAACAGACTGCAGTTGGGGTATACCCCCAACGGATTGACTAGACTAGACTAAATGAGCACACGGCCTGTAGGGTCAAGCCACGGTCTGGTCCCACAAGCCGAACAGGCAAAATAGCCAAATAGCCCTGCCTCTAGACCAGGGCAGCTAGATGAACGTTGCACGATGTCAAGCATATCGGTTCCGCAGGGGGACCCTCCCGGCTGCGTCACGCAGGATTTTGCAAGACTTATGTCACAGTGGAGCTTTCACTACTCCAGCCAAGTGTGCCAGCTGCACCTCTCACGAACCCCTACGATAGGATAAGGACCACGCGAGGCGCAACTATACCTTTGCCTAAGGGGTTGTCACCACCCTTGGACAAACATGTCCCCGTCGAGCTACCGAACCACGTACGAAAGCTAGTACTTGACTGCAATTGCGGAGGTGGCTCAACCAATGGCGTTTTCTCGTACGTTGTAGCATAAGGGGTACGTGTGGTCGAACGCCTTAATCGAACCCATACACGAACCGATGCTCTGAGGGCTGATTTCCCAAGCACGACTATGCGTCGGTCGACCAGGCAGGTTCACCTAACCATGCGATACACTTCACAAAAATAAGACAAAGTTTCACACACAAGTTACGTCTAGTCTCTTTTTTGTATCCTACCCATAACCTTTCGACAATAAAAAATGGAGATATGTCATGCGCGAGATTATGAACAAATATCGCGGTGATGTAGGCCTTGTCACATTCGACTAGTCATGCATGGTTGCACAGGCAGTCGCAATGATGACGTGCAACGTGGAACCCATAACCATACGGTCCTCAATGATTTTGAGGTTCGCTTTCAATACTCAAGTGTCGGATGACATACATCTCGAGAAGTTAATCTTTCCACGCTAGACAATCGCAAGTGCGATTATAAGACCTACCCTCTTCTGCACATTGTGGAGAGGAGTGGTAGGCGACCTTCACTGTTTAGTAGCGGCCATACACCTCTGACTCTGGAACCAGGGCTCCATCTTCGGAGGTCTGGAAACAGGTCAAGGGGGTTGACTTTTACAGTCGCGACGGACCTAAACGTCCAACTAAAAAAAAAAAAAAAAAAAAGTCAAAATAAAAGGGATCTTCTTCTCTCTCAACGCAAATTTGCTTGATTTTTACACACTGTTACAGTAAACCGGGCTGATACACAAAATAAAAATACAATAGGGTTATAGAACACAAGGTGATCACTCTCACAATCACAGTGTGACTCCCTTCAAAATATACATATGATCGCAAACAAAGCCAATCCCGACTTTAACTCGCAAAAACATATTTGCAATCACACCAAAGATTTAATATCGACCGACCACGCACGACACGAGTTTAACTTCAACCACTCTCTGCGTTTATACCCCTTGCCTTATCCATACACGCCCCAACCTTTATCCAATCTTTCAAAATAAAACACTTAATCCTTTTTAAATGATCATTTAATAAAAGTTTGGGAAAAAACTCAAAGAAACAATTCAACCAAAGAGGCTAAGGCCTTAGGTTTACTCGAGAGAATGAGTTAGAGTTGATTCGGAAACCGACTTGTTATAAAGAGATAACACAAGATGATCCTTGTTGGATCGGGTTGAAACTAGTCAGATCTTGAATAAAAACGACCAAAGAGGTCATGTAAAATAGCACAAGTCAAGTCGCAAAGTTAGACCTTGAATATCTGGAGAATAAATTTTCATATTACATTCGACTCAATTTCTCCTTGACTGGGTATAAGTTTACCTCCAAATTGGTGTCATAAGAAAAAAAAAAAAAATCGGCAGCATCTCTCCTATACAGGATGGATCGTCACGACTTTTCCTATCAAAATATAATATAAACCTTGAAAAAAAAAAATTGACAGCATTTCCTCTCGATAGAACTGTCATTTTCAAAATTCATACTAAGCTAAATATAAAATATAAAAATAAATTTTGTCCTTACATAGTCAAATTTTGTTTAACTATCTGGATTAGTAAGAAATTTGACAACATCACATTTAAAAAATAGGCTTATCGGATTTATACCAAGTCAGATATGAATTAAACGACAAAACTTAAATTTTGCAAGATAAAATTTAACCAACTCTTTAAATTTATAAAATTTCGATAACACTCCCTTTATAAAAAGCATCTTTCCAAATTTTGTACCACACTAAATACAAGTTATCAAAATGATTCTAACCAAATTTTATCTAACTATCTGATTTAGCAAAAATTTTGGCAACACTTCCCCTCTAATAGTAGGTTTCCTAGATTTATACTAAGCCGGATACGAAACTCATACAGAAATTGAATTTGTAAAGATAAAATTTTGACTAACTCCTTGAATTTGTAAAAATTTGAACAACATTTTTTTTAGCGAAAATGTCATTCCAAATTTTATACAAAGTTACATATAAACTTAACTCTGAAAATAAGAAATTGAATTATCTCCAATGACTCCAGTACATGACGAGCATCTAAAGCAACTACATATTAGAGACAACTTCAATCAGAGTTAAGACTAAACTCATAGCCAAGCAGCA